TGAGAGAGGATGGGGAGGAACAAGGGAGATGTGGAGCTGGAGTGAGAGAGGATGGGGAAGAAGAGATGTGGAGTGGAGCTGGAGTGAGAGAGGATGGGGGAAGAGGGGAAGATGTGGAGTGAGAGAGGATGAGGGGAGATGTGGAGTGAAATGGAGTTACTCACCCTGATGCCATGCTGCTACCCCGGATCCACCGCTGATACAAACTATCCCCGCAGCCCCGAGATCGTATCCGGCAGCCGGGGCGGCAACGAGCCCTCCCATTGGTCCACCCCCTGTCACTCTCGTACAACTAGCGGGGCAACTGTCCAATTGAAGCGCGGGAGTGCTGTGGTACCAGCCAATAGAGACTGCAGTCGTCGGGGCGGGGCACCCAATCCGAATAAGGCGGGTGGGCGGGACTCGGCTGTGGTTACTTTGTGTCCGGATTCGGGGAGGAGAAACAATGTGGAGCCGAGTGATTGGGGTAAGAGGAGGGAGAGGATAGAAGGATTGCAGTGAGGCATTGGGGTAGGAGGAATTGCGTTGACGGGGATCGAGGAAAGAATGAGAGAACTGGGGTTAATTGGGTTGAGGGAAGGATCGGCACAAGGAGGTTAGTAAACTAGTTGAAGGTAAACGATTGGATTGCAGAAGAAGGACTGCAGGAATTGAAGGAACGGGGGAAAGGGAGAGTGAAAAAGAAGGAAAATCAAAACGTTGAGCTATGTGTGATTGGAGAATGTAAAAATCAAATAAATGTAGAGGAGGTATTTCATAATTGTTCAAAAGATGTGTGCATCGTTGGCAAGGCCGGCTTTTATTGCTTATCCTTTTAAATGCCCATGAAAGGGGGAATGAAGAGGAGAAAGTAAAATTGAGATGAATTCGGTGTTGAGTTTGAGGGTGATTCGGCGCATTGTTATCTCTGGGCTGGCTTACTGATAGGCCGATAAAGGATGGGGAACTGTGGCTGGAGCGTTTAGCTGTCTGGCATTTTTTTTAAACGGGTTTCTGACACCCCCCCAACGTTGTGTTAACTTGCCATTCTCAACTGGGTAAATCTGGTACCCCCAGCGCCAGGTGAGGTGACAGGCTGGCTGGGTGGGTGTAGCCAGAATAGTCTCCGCCTATCCTGGGCTCTGGCATTGGAAAGTCTGACTAAAACCATTGGCCCAGAGCCCGGAAGCATTGATCTAACAAAGTAACAGGACTGGCTGCTTATAGCTTCTTGACTCATGTTTCTGCAACGCCTTTTTGAAAACTGTTATGTTGTGTTCTCGGCTCTTGAGTCAGAAAGTTGTTTTCAGTTCACACTCGAGGACCTGAACACAAATGAAGACTGACACATCAGTGTACGATTGAAATCCCTCTTTAGATTTAAAAGATCCCCCTAGCTGTGTTTCAGAGAAGAGCGGAAGTATTCCCTTGGTCCATGGGATAATGTTTATCCCTCAAACGTCACAAAAATGATTGTCTGCCAATATAGCATTTTACTATTTATAGGATCTTATTATGCACAAAATCGGCTGCTGGATTTTCCTACATTACAACCATGATTACACTTTTAAAAAAAATCAGTTATCTAAAAAAGCATTTTGTGAAGTCTAGCCATGAAAGGGGCTATATGGAACACAGGAACAGGAATGGGCCCTTCAGCCCATTAAGTCTGTTTTACCATTGAATTGGATTATGGCTGATCATCTATCTCAATAACACTTTCCCATGCCTCTTCATATCATTCGTGTCCATAAATCTATTGACTGCAGTCTCGAGCACGCTCAAATGTTAAGCTTCCACAGCCGTCTAAGGTAGAGAATTACAAATATTCATCACCCTCTGAGTAAAGAATATGTAGGAAATTATACCTGCAAGTTTCTCTTTCCTTAAATGTCTGAAAAAGTTTGTGATAGCCAATGAAATATATGTGAAGTGCAATGATCCCTGTTGTAATGAAGGAAACACAGCCATCAACTTATGTGCAGCAAGCTCCCACAAACAGATCATGGCTGCTTGTTAGTGAGATGATTGAGGGATACATATTGATGAAGACATCAGGAAGAGCTCCTCTTCACCCAGTGCTGCCTTAAATGTTTTACATCAACTTGTAAAGAAGAGGAGAAAGAGCCCTAGTTCAATGTTTCAACAAAAAGATGCTAACTTTAGTGCAGTATTTCCCTGTTGCTGCCCCCTCAGGCAGTATGGTGCTTTCCCCAGCCCAATCCCTTGGGGGATGCAGCATATCCCTCTATACTTAAGTAGGATGTTGCGGTGCTCCCCTCTGTGTTGACCCTCGGAGGGTGCAGCGCTCCCTTCTATACTGTCCTTTGGACAGTGCAGCACTACCTTTAGTACTGCCCCTCAGATGGTCTGGTGCTCCCTCAATGGAGTGTCTACTGAAGTTTTGAGTCAAGCATGGGACTTAAATCCACAAACTTTGGCTTAGGTCACTGGTTCTTTTCTGGCTCAAAAAAAAGTCTGAATCTGTTTAAAAATGTGAAGTGTAAAGTATTTTGAGAGGCCAAGGTAAGGGGAGTACACCTTGAACAGTAGGACCCTTAACATGTAGAGGCAAGAACCATTACAATGTTTTTGAGAAGACTGGTAGCTCGCATTGTGGATGAGGTTGTAGACTTGCTCGCTAAGCCGGTGTGTTTGATTGCAGACTTCCTGTCAAGGTGTTAATAAAAAAAAAAAAAATTTTTTGACTGAGGCAAAAAATGTTACCGAGGGGAAGAAAGGAAAAGTGGGTTGGTTGGGAAAATGTTTAAAATAATTGGCAAAGAGGACTACAAGAGAAAAATTTCCTCAGATCATTAAAAATTTGGAAGGCACAGCCTGAAAGGTGAGAGAATGAGATTCAGTGGGAACTTGCACTGGAAGAATTAATTTGCAAGGACATGTGGAAAAGACTTGGAGCTGGGGTTAAATTGGCAAACTTGTTCAAAGAGCCAGGTAATGTCTGTGTCCTTGAAGGACCATCAATGTCTATCTATATTAGAGCTTGAATGATACTAATCCACAAGCAAGGTGAGGAGGCAGGACTTCTGTGAACAATCACAGACAGTACGGATATTGATATTGTGCTATTGGTGTATTGCTGAGACATGCTGTAATCATCTAAGCCAACTGACCAAATACAGATAGTGATCTGAATGACCTCTTCCTGTGCTGTAAGAGATGTGATAGTATTCATCTCCATTCTGTAGGCAATTGGCTCCATTCTGAGGTCGTTGCTTGACTTCATTTTGAACCTACTTCAGCTCAAAGTTAAGGGTCCACCAGTCACACTTGAGGACCCAAATACGAAGTATCCGCTGAGGTTGATCGATAAAGAGGTGAGTGAACTTGCTCTGAAATAAACTTCATCGAAAAGCAATGATTCAACTGACTTGTTATCATTTTCTCAAGGCACTTTAACTTCAATCACGATTTAAGCTCAACATCTTGATGGGTCGATGGTTACTATAACTTTTATTGTCTCTTGGAGAAGAGGATTTTTTAGTCGTACTGAAAAGTCCGCTGGATAGCAGTACAATGCCATTAGATAAATCATTACTGCTGCAAATATGAGTAATATCTGCCAGATACATTGAGCAAGAAAATAAATGACTGGGACAGCATAGACCATGAGGGGTTAAATTATAACTTTTTAATAGTGTCAGATGAGCAAAGGGAAATGGGATCAATGTACTACAGGATAGAAGGAGAGTAGGTAAGAAACCTTAGTCCTTAAGTGATTCAAGAATGATCAAAACAGGAAGTCTCAATTTGAGAAAATAGCTTTGCAGTAAACATTTATATCTATTTATGCAAATAGGCTGTTTTCAAAGGATTTAAGGTCAGTTGCACCATGAAATTTTGTCTAAGCTGCTTAGTCACACAGCACAGAAACTGACCCTTCAGTCCAATCAGTCCATGCTGACCATAATCCCAAACTAAACTAGTTCCACCTGCCTGCGCTTGGCCCATATCCTTCCAGACATTTCTTATTCATGTACTTATCTAAATGTCTTTTAAACTGTACCTGCATCCACCACTTCCTCTGGAAGTTCATTACACACGAACCACTCTCTGCATTTTAAAACAAAAATTGTCATTCACCTTATCTATACTGTCTCGTTTTTTTTTTTTTTTTTTTTGATGCTCTAGAAGATCACTCCTCACCCTCCTATGCTTCAGTGTTATTAAAACAAGTCCCAGCCTATCCAACCTCTCCTTATAACTCCAACCCACCATTCCCAGTAACATTCTGGTAAATATCTTCCCTACAATAGGGAGACCAGAACTGAGCTCCAGAAGAGGCCTAACCAACATCCTGTACAACCTCAACATGATGTCTCAACTCCTGTATTCAGAGGTCTGAGTAATGAAGGCAAGCATGCTAAACGCCTTGACCACCCTATCTATATGTGATGTAAACTTCAAAGAATTATGTACCTGAACACCTAGGCCTCCCTAAATAAAAACCAAAAGAACTGTGGATGCTGTAAATCAGGAACAAAAACAGAAGTTGCTGGAAAAGCTCAGCAGGTCTGGCAGCATCTGTGAAGAAAAACAAAAATCAGTTAACGTTTTGTCTGATGACCCTTCCTCAGTTCTGTTAACGATGATTTTTTTCTTCCCAGATGCTGCCAGACTTGCTGAACTTTTCCAGCAACTTCTGTTTTTTATACCTAGATCTCCCTGTTCTACAACATTGCCCAAGGCCCTAATTTTAATTGTATAAGTCTTGCCTTTGCCTTTGTTTGTTTTGCCAAAACACAATACATCATATTTATCCAAATAAAACTCCATCTGCTACTCTTCGGTCCTTTAACGCACTGTGCCAAGATCTCTTTGTAATCTTAGATAATCTTCACTCTTCTTTATAAACCAAGTGAAATGGACAATGGAGTTTGGATTTCAAAATTTATTTGAAAAATTTGTAAAAAGAAACAACTACACAAATTGAAAGCCATTCTGTGTGCAGTGCAGATCAACTACCTGTCGTGGGTATCAACAAAGAGGGTCTGGACAGAATAGGAAAGGATACACCCCTCCCTTTGCAGAAAGATTGAGAACCAGATGAGATCTACTGAAGATAAATATCAACTGAACTAATAGTGAAATGAGGAAAACATTCTTTATGCAGTTAATGGTTGAGATCAGGAATGCTCTGCCTCAATGCAGTGCAGTGGAGGTACATTCACTCATGGCCTTCAAAATGATATTGAATGATTATCCAATTGAAAATATTTTCATGTCTGTGGTGAAAACACACCGTGGGATGAACTATGGTGTTCTTGCTTCATTCTGCACTGTTCTGTGATTTTCTAATAACTGTGTGCCTTGCCAGCATAGTCAACCGTGAACCACACACGCAAGATGTTTGAACCTAATGCACGAATATAAACTTCGCTTCTATTTGTTATCATCAGTCTGTGATATCCTTTGTAAAGTTGGATGAAGGTGAAGTTTACTTTACAGACTTGGCTTTTGTTCCTGAAGCTGCTTATCACAGTCCAAAGTAAATGATTAATGATTTACTGCAACTTATACACAACCTTGCTGTTACAGACAGTGAAGGATTAAATTAACTTGGCTTAGAATCAGTCAGGGATATGGCCGGTCTGTGTAATGGCACCATTGCTGATGTTTATTGTATGTTATCTTGTTACAGATAAACCAATGGCATATCATGGACTCTTGGCTTAGAGATGTTCAAAATATTTTTTTCTAGGCTCCAGGCAGTCAGGGCTATCATGTCCTGCATTGTAGCCCAAATTATTTTGTTCATGGGGAGGTTTTAAAAGCCTGAGAACTGTTTCTGAATTTATTATTCACTACTACTGAGATTGCTCTGCAGGGTTTTTCCTGTTTTCCTCCCAATTTTTGTATTTCTCAAAAATGGTTTATTGTGACTGATTTTTTTTTTTTTTAAAACGTTATTTTCAATGTTGAGTCATTGTTGGGAAACTTAAGTTATACTGCATTTGCACAGCACTTTGCATTCTCACTTTGGCAAAGATGGGAGATGAGTGGAATTTCTTTGGTTATAGTGTCATAGAGTTGTAGAGCACAGAAACAGACCCTTCGGTCCAAGTTGTCCATGCTGACCAGATATTCAGACTGAATCTAGTCCCACTTGTCAGACTTTGGCCCACGTCCCTTCAAACCCTTCCTATTCATATGCTCATCCAGATGCCTTTTAAATGTTGTAATTGTACCAGCCTCCTCCAGTTCCTCTGGCAACTCATTCCATACATGCACCACCCTCTGCATGAAAAAGTTGCCCCTTTAATTCCCTTTTAAAATCTTTTCCCCACCCACATAAACCTATACCCTCTATATATTTGGATTCGTGGATTCATGAACATGGCTCCTCTGGGAATGATACCTTGCAGTTGATCTTGAAGTTCAGTCCAGACAGACCTTGATACAGAGGCAGCTTGGCCAATTTCTGGATCCTATGAATCAGGAATATAACCTAGCCCTGGAATTCCCTTGTTCCATACTAACTTGAAAGCTAATGATTTAAATTATTCTATTATATCTTTTCATGGAATATAGGTGTTGCCCATCTCTAATTGCCTTTGAGAAGGTGGTGGGGAGCTGCCGCCTTGAACTGGTGTAGTCGGTGTGGTGTTGTGACATGCTGACCTGTTATGGATGGATTTCAACACAACTGAAGGAATGGCAATATATTTCCAAGTCCGAATGGTAAATTGTTTGCAAGGGAGCTTGCAAGTGGTGGCATTATTCTCGTAGATGGTGCAGATGCAGTTGAAGGAGATTTTAATAGGTAGCTTTGATTAATTTTTTTTTTAATGGTGCAGATGGCTTCCCCAATAACACACTCTCCCTCTCATTCAGTGGATGAATTGGAATACCACCACCTGCAAGTTCCCATCCAAGATACATAGCATTTTGCGGTTGAAAAAAATTGCCTTTTTTTTTCACTATTGCTTGGTCAAAATCCAAGAGCTTCCTTTTTAGTAGCACTGCACTACACCACATGGATTGCAGCGGTTCAAGGAGGTGTTCCTAATCACATCATGAGGGCACTTGGGAATGGATGATACGTGCTGGGCTAGGTGCTGATGCTCGCACAGAAAGGTGGAGTCTGGCCAGGTACATCATTCATTCATTGTGATGTTGCATGAATGGTGCCTCTAGCACTGTCTTGCATCATCTACGCAAGCAAAAGATGTCCCTGCCGCCTCACGGGGGGTTGCGACCCATGGTTTGAGTACTGCTGCCTGGCCCATTCATTTCCACAGGCAGTTATTGTGCATTTAATGAGCTCAGGTAGAACAGGTGACTTGGGATCCATGCTTTACTGGGGTTTTCCTCACTCACTGTGCACCTGGGCCCATTAGACACTCTCTCGTCGATAAAGATTGATCACTGATTAGTTAGTAAGTCCATTGGCATTGTATCATGTGACCGCCAAGATTCTAGAAGCATCTTGGTTTGTTTTCACCCAGTAATCTCTAACAATTATAACGCTAATCAGCTCCATTCTGGCTTCCTCATTGGATGAATACTGTGTGGGAAATTTTACAGTTGGAAATGCGCATGACAGTATTTCAAGGACGTAACTGTGTTTGCTCTTCTCAGATTGTTTCCCGTGACACCCGGAGATTCCGCTTTGCCCTTCCTTCTCCAGAGCATATCTTAGGCCTGCCAGTTGGTGAGTCAATATCTAATCCCTAATATATTTTGGAAATCTGAACTTGTGTTTACTGTAAGCTAAGAAAGACTTACTGCAGCCGTGAGTTCCATTCCCCATGTCTGCATAAATTTCCAATTTTTCATTGAGGGGAGAAAAGTTACATCTTGAATTGATCTTCCATTCTAGATCATTGGTCATCTACTACTTCAACATTATATTCCTGTGTTATTGACAAATCTCTTGACGTCATTAGTATCTGCAAAGCTTTCAAGTCAACCATTCCAATGACTGAGTTTCCACAGCCCTCTGGGGTAGATAATTCCATGGATTCACCACCCTATGAGCAAAGACATTTCTCCTCAGCTTTATCCTAAATGACCTACCCTCATCCTGAGACTGTGTTCCTGATTCTCGCCAGGGAAGTGTCCTTCCTACATCCACATTTCAGAATTTTGTAACTTTCAATAAGATCACTTTTCATTCACTTAAATTCTAGACAGTACAATGCAGTCTCTGCAGACACTTCTCATCAGAGACCCTGCCTTCTCAGGCATTAGTTTGAACCTTTTGCTGCACTGTTTCTATGGCAAGGATAACCTCTGAAGTAGAGACACTATAGCTGTACACGATATTCCAAGTATGATCTCACCATGGCTCTACCATTGCAGGAAGCTATTTTACTGCTGTACTGAATCTCCTTGTGATTAAAGGTGAACGTTTATCTTGCTAATTGCTTGCTGCATCTTTGTTAGCTTTCAGTGACTTCTGAACTAGGACACCCAGGTCTCTTTGGACATCAACAATTCCCAATTCCCTGTCATTTAAGAAAAACTTTTTTCACTTCCCTTCCTCCAATCAGAGGAGGAGACCCTTTGGCCCTTTAAACCTGTGGCAGTTCTTTGAAAGAGCTTTGAAATTGGTCCAAGTCCCCCTCCTTTCCCATTGTCCTGCTGAATCTTTCCTGTTCAAGTGTTCATCCAATCCCTTATGAAAATTACTGTTGAGTGTGCTTCCATTGACTTCTTGGTGCATTTCTGATCACAACAACTCAAAGTATTTAAAAATTCTTCGAAATTCTCTCTGGTGCTTTACAGTCTAATGTCCCAATCAGTTTCCACTGCACCTTTTTTAGATTCAAAAGGACGTGTACATCAGTTAAAAATTAACTTTATGATCACTTGCTTGAAAATTTTCTTTGTAAAGTGTCTTAATGTTTATCCATTTTGCAATTCAACAGTGAAACTGTTGGAGCTGTTCAGATAAAATTTGACTTCTGTGGAGGATGCAGCGGTGTTAGGCTGGAGAGGAAGACAGAGTGGCAGACATAAGAATTGGTCAGCCTATTTGGTCCCATCAGTGGGATCGGATTAGATTTTAATGTTAAGTATTAAACATCAAAAGTGTTGGTTAACCAGGCATGTTTTCTAGTTGGAGTTTTATGCTACCTCTCGCATCTCAAAACCCCCATATTTTTATATATGGGGTATAAGTAATATTTTTCATCAACCTGTTCAGACATATATGTCTGGAGCAGATGGGACTTGAACCAGGACCTTCAGGTTCAGAGATAGGAACATTACCACTGCACTATAAGAGCCATTGTAGAACATAAAACTGTGACTCTGGATGGTGTGTCCAGTGACATCACCACTGCACCACTACCTCAACATTGAACTATTCTTTCATTAACATATAAGCATTATTCCCTAGTTCTGTTTGGCAGTAGGCATCCCCGCCTGACCTTAATAGGTGGCGTGGTGGTGGCTCAGTGGTTAGTACTGCTGCCTCAGTGTCAGGAATCCAGATTCAATTCCACCTTTTGACTGTGTGGATTTTACACATTCTTCCCATGTCTGCGTGGGTTTCCTCTTAATGCTCCGGTTTCCTCGCAGAGTCCAAAGATATGCAGGTTATGTGGCTTGGACATGCTAAATTGCCCATAGTGTCCAGGGATGTGTAGGTTGAGTGGGTTAGCCATGGGAAATGCAGAGCAACAGGGAGAGGGTAGGAGTTTAGGCCTGGGTAGGATTCTCTTCAAAGTGTTGGTGTGGACTTGGGCCAAATGGCCTGCTTCCACACTGTAGGGATTCTATGATTCTAATAGTAATTTATTAGAAATTGTGATCATCTGTGTAAATAGGCAAATTGTGACTGGTAGAGTTTCACACCCTTCAACTTAACCATGCTGTAATAATGCCTGCACAAAGTTATGATAGATACCAACTGTTCTTCAGGCTGGTAATTTGATATGACAGATTTCTTGCCGTTTGTTGAAATCAAGCATGGTTTTCCATGGCATTCAGCAGCTGTGACTTGGCACATCTGCTGGGTTATTGGCTTCCAACCACTCCCAATATATACTTTGACTCTTCTTCACATGGTTATTTTGTTTTAAATAAATTCAGTTGCGTTACAGAACAGTTGGGCACTCAGTGACTCATGCAGCTTTTTTAATGGCATTACAGGTGTGGGTGTTGCTGGCTGGGCCAGCATTTGTTACCCATCCCTGATTGTCCTGGAGAAGGTGGTGGTGAGCTGCCTCCTCGAACTGATGCAATGCATAAGGTATACACAGATTCTCTGTGCTTTTAAGGAGAGTTTCAGGTTTTGATCGAGCAACATTTGAAGGAACAGCGATTTATTTCCAAATCAGGATTGTGTGGGGTACAGAGGAGAACTTGCAGGTGGTAGTGTGACAGGAATGTGCCTTTGTATCTCTTGGTGGTTGAGGTTGTGGGTTTGGGAAGGGCTGTTGAAGGAGCCTTGCAAAATACTGTAGTACATCTTGTTGCTTGTATACACTAATTACCAAGTTCTCACCAGTGTAAAATGATTGGCTCCTTTTGAAAATGATTAAAATTCCTTGAAACTTTGGCCAATTGTGATCAGTAGAATGTTTTGTAGCAGTTTTATCAGGGAGCTAAGGCTGATGCTCCAACATGCATATGTTTAGGAGAATTTTAAAATCCAGATGTTCTTGTTCAGTAATCCTGTGGGACATATCGTGCACTTATCTCTAATTCATGTACACTTATCTACATTGTAGGTGCACATGAAGACAAGCTCTTGTGGGGGAAAAATATTTGTGTCCCACTGTTGAGCTAAATTGTTCAATAGCTATTTGGAATGTTTTTATTCTTCTAAAGAGAATTTTTTAAAAATCTGTTATTTGACTCAATATGTTGTAATAAATGGAAACAATATCGGAGTTTAGAGCTTAGAGTGTTAACTCTATCCCAGAGAGTTCCATAAGAGAATTATTAGAAAGACAAACCAACAGAAATCCCAATTTTGATTACCTGTCATAAACTTGGTGTACTAGGCTACCTGTCGAGAATCTATGCTTTTTAAAGCCAGTGATGCAGGGCTAATTTGAGATTGGCAAGTGCCTGTCACTGGCCAGGCCAACATTTATTTCCAAGATTTAGTGACAGTAATATTGTTCCAAGTCAGGATGGTGAATGGCTTGGAGGTGCACGTGTAGATGGTGGTGTTCCCATGTATCTGCTGCCGTTGGCCTTCTAAATGGCAAGGAGTTTGGAAGGTGCTGTTGAAAGATACTTGATGCAGTGCATCTTCTAGATGATGCACTCTGTTGTTGCCATGTATTGATGGTAAATTGAACATTGAAAGTTTTAGCTGGAATGCCCAATGGCAAACTGCTTTGTCCTGGATGGTGTCAAGCTTCTTGTGTTGTTGGAGCAGTTAACTTGAGCACTGAGTCTGGAGTCCTATGTAGGTCAGTCTCCTTCTAAGGCTTTCCCCAAAGACATCAATGAACCAGATGGATTTTTTACAACAATTGGCGGTGGATACTTGCTTGCCATTATAATTGATTTTTAATTCTAGATTTTATCTGCCATGGTTAGATGTGAACCCATGCCCTCAAGTTTGGCCTGGATTAATAATCCAGTGTCATTATCACAAAAGTAAAAGGTAAAGTTACCATTACCAGACCATAGGGGGCTGCTCTGTTGAATGATTGGTGGTTTAACCTGGGGCTCACCATGCCCCAGACAAGGGTAGAGGTTGAGAAGGCATTTTCTTCATGGAAACCTCAGCCAGTGCAGGACTTGAACCCACGCGTTGGCATCACACTGCATAGCAAACCAGTTGAGCAGCCAACTGAGCTAATCGATCCTTTGGTAAAAATGTCATCGTCCCAGAGGACTATAAAGCTGCTCTCTCTCTGATTAGAGAGAGACAACTGGTGGTGGGTTTAACCTGAGGGCCGCCTCGGGCGAGGGATGAGGTTGAGAAGGCGTCATCTTCGTAGTGAGCTCAGTGATTGCGGGAATTGAATCTATGATGTTGGCATCATTCTGCATTGAAAACCGGTCATCTAGCTAACCCAGCTATACCACTGCTAAACTTGGCTCAATTTGGTCTATATGCCAGGCATGGTACCAGACCAGTGCTTATTCTTCCACTTGGATGTGTTCATGACAATTAGTGTCATTGCCCAGTGTTAAGGTGGTGTTTTGAAATCTTGCTGTGAAACTATAACATTGTTCACAAGTTGAAGAACTCAATGACTCATTTTAAATGAAGAAATGGAGATGTTTTGTATATTTCTGGACTATGGGTGTATTTGATCCAAATGCTCACAATTAATATTTTATTTTGAGACATTTTGTGCCCAGTTTTGGTATCCATTTCTAAAGAGGGGTATACTCACTTTGAAGGTGGTATATTGAATATTCACTAGATAGGTTGCTGAAATGAGGTGGTAATCTTATTATGAGAGAGAGAGAGAGAGAGAGTAAAATGGTCCTATACTGCCTGAAGTTCAGAAGAATGAGAAGTGATGAGACTGAAGGGAGTGACAGGGTCGTCTCGTGCGCTTGCTCGCTCTGTGTGTCTGTGTTCTAAGACATGGGCATGGTCTCAGATAAGGGGTTACTTTTATTTAGGACTGAGATGAGGAGAAATTTCTTTGCACAGGGGTTATGAATATTGCACACTCTCTACCCAAATGGGTATGAATGCATGTTTAAGGCTGTGTTGTTTTTGTAATCACAGAATAAAGGGATTTGAACAGGAAAGTGGAGTTCAACTATAAGAGTGCATAATCATGTTGAATAGCAGAACGGGCCCGAGGGGCCAAATGGCATCCCATGGCTCCTGTGATTGTGTTTCTAATGTGTACCTTCTCACCAGTTCCCTGTGTCTACACCAGGTTAAGTTGAAGTCTGCCTCAATATTTTCTTGCCAAATGCTCTCTCTTCCATCATTATTATTTTGTACTTAATCTGGACATTTTGTTCCAATAACTATTTTTGTCTTTTAGAAAGTGATGGAAACAACTAGCTTTGTCAGTGACTGTTTCATTTGGTTTGTTGTTTTCAGGTGTGTTGAGATGGCAATTTCTCCAATAAAAGTAAATTAAAACATTATTTTTATAATGTTGTGATTTTCTAAATTTAATGTACTTTGGTTGTCTGTATTGGAGCAAGTGTTATCCCAGGCTGATAACTTCCCAACGTCAGCTGTTGCTCTGTTTGTGAAACACTTACCAGTTGAATCACAAAGTTCTGGGACCAAGTCCCACTCCGAGTTATGAACTCTAAAATCCTAGCTAACTCTCCAGTGTCTTGCTGAGGTAGCATTTCTGACAGAGCAGCACTATTTCAGGTGTCGCATTAAACCAAGATTCTATCTGCCTGTTGGGTGAATACAAATTATTTCATTGGAGCATGTTAAAGAATAACAGGGTTGTCGTCCCTGATGCTGGGGATCTCTCAAGATCATTCAAGCAGGCCTTTTATCTGGTCACTATCATGTTGCTGTTTGTGGAATCTTGATGTGTGTATCATTGTCACATTTCCTACATCATTCACTAGGTGGCTGCAGAGCATTTGGTGTGCATGCGTGCCTGTATATAGGGTTAAGCTTGACCAATTGTGTTTAAATGCATCTGCTTACCCAGCTACTTTCTAAAGGGTTGCAAGGTCGCCAGTTACCTTCAAGATGTGTATTAAAAGTGATACCAGTTCATCCAGCTGGGATGTTAATGTTAAGTAGCCTGCAAAGATAAGTGCTCTATACACATCAGCCATTGGCCACCAGTAAATCAGAACGTAAAGAGCAGCCCTTGGTTCTAAATCAAATGTGATAATGAGAGAGTCTATTTTCTTTTTTAAATAGGGCAACATATCTACTTATCAGCAAAGATTAATGGAGAACTTGTGGTCAGGCCATACACCCCTGTCTCCAGTGACGATGATAAGGGCTATGTGGATTTGGTCGTCAAGGTAACAAATAGGCATAAAGTTTTGGTCTGCCTCTGACTTGTTCCCGAATGTCCACACCCTCTCTCTTACACTCTAACACTTACCCAGACATCATACATGTACACTAAGGTATGCACACTACAAACTAGAAGAGGAACAAAAGAGCAAGATTGGGCCATTTGGCCCTTTGAGTCTGTTCCAGCATTCAGGTAAGACTTTGACTAATCAGCACCACTTTCCTATCTGCTCCCCATATCCTTTGACTCCCTTGTCTATCAAAAATCTGTCCAACTCAGCCTTGAATAAATGTCAAGACCCAGCCTCTAACTCTTTCCTGGAGGAAGAGATTCCACACCTGTAAAATAAGGAAGTTTTGATAAAACTATACAAGGCACAAGTTGGACCACAGGGATTGGCTACAGTGTAGCACACTTCATTCTATGGGGGTGTGTAAAACCAGGGAACATATCTTAAGAATAAGACGTCTCTGTCAATACAGATGTGGAGAAATTTCTTCTTAGTCGGCTGTTCAGGTGCATCCACTATCTCAATAGCCATTTCTTTTATATTCTAGAAGTCTAGGAGACTTATTGGTCTTTAGTCCCAGTAGTTTCCCTAGTACATTTTCCTAGGATAGTAATTGCGTTTATTTCCTCCCTACCTTTTGCCTCCAAATTTAGTATTTTTGGGATGTTATTAGTGTCATGTACCATAAAGAACTAATCTAAAGAATTCATTCAATCCCTCTCACTTCCTGGTTCCCCTTTGTTGTGAATAATAATGATTTATTGTCATTTGTACTCTGCAGTGAACAATGTGGTAAAATACAGTGAAAAGTTTCAACTGTCGCCACAATCTGGTGTCGTTTAAATACTTGAAGAATGAAAAGACAAAGCTGAAGGAAAGTCCATCTTTGCTTTGCCACCCCTACCAGGAGTCCTGAGCCAGCTGGCTGGCCGACCAACGACTCCTGTGTTGCTGCCTGTACTGGACCCACCAATGTTTGAGTTGCTGCTCCTTGGGCACCATCTCTTAGCTGGACCTACATCGCCGATAGGTCACCAATACTGTGTCCTGTGCTGGACCCACATTCACCCCGCAACCAGGATCCGCAACCCCCCCACCCCCAACTCCACTGTCACCGTCACCTCCCCAACAGCCAGGTCACCCTGGCTCCAGGCCTACCACAAGCAGGAGCAGTCGCTGCCGTCTCACCGACAGAGTCCCTGCTCTGGGCATACCACACTATCACCCAGAGCCCCTGGTTCTGTCACCAGGCCAGGCCAGACCAGTGCCTCACCAATGGTCCTGCTCCAGCTGCGACCCTCCTACGGGTCATTGTTGAATCGTGGGCTGCGGGTGGCTGGTATCCGTACAGATGGCAGTTCAGGATATCAAAGCGGAAGCAGTACATCTCAGATGACCGCCATGTTATTTCTCCAGTGTCATTTTCCAAGGGGCTTGTGTTCACCTTGACCCCTCTCTTCCTTTTTTTTTAATGCATTTAAAAAACATCTTTGAGTGCTGTTATAATGCTTGCTAGCTTACCCTCTGCTTATTTTCTCCCTTTTCTTTGGTTAACTTTTTTCTTTTAAAAACTTTCTGAATTCTCTGGCTTACCACTAATCTTTTCCACACTTGTTTTTTTTTCAATTTGATACAACCCTTAACCAACCAAGGAAATGTATCTTCATCTTAAAATCCTCCTTCCCCACTGGAATAGATCTTTATTATGAATCATGAACTATTTCCTGATTTGTCTTTCATTGTTCCTGAACTATGTTTCCTGCTAAATTCCTTACCCAGTCCATTCTAGCCATCCCTGTTCTTATTCCTTGGTAGTTACCCTTATTTAAGTTTAGTGCAGTTGTTTCCATCCCAGGTTTCTCACTCTTAAATTGAATGCTAAGTTCTGCCTTGTTATGGTCACTATTTCCTAAGGAATCTTCTACTCCAAGACCTGCCTTGTTACACATTCAGATCCAAAATAGCCTGACTGGATCCATAACATGCTGTTCTTGGAAACTTGGGAATACACGCTCTGAATTCTGGATTGGCTCTCCATTGAAAGTTCTCTCTACAGCTTTAGTTATCAATTTATTAGGACACTGGCCCCAAAAATGGTTCAAGTAACGCGTATCCCACAAGAACAGCTCCCTTCTATCACTGTACTTGTACTTGTGCCATTGCCGTGTGACCTGAAACCCATCCCTCCCACACCAATCTTTTGAGGCACCTGTTTAACTCATTGACTGTGTTTATCAATACCAGTATACATATGGCTCAGGTAGTAATCCTGAGATTATTGCTTTGGTGGTATTGCTATCTAACTTTTGGCTCCTGACTGTTCATATTATTTGAGCAGGAAGTCCTTTCCTGATCTAGGGTTCCAACATGGATGATGATGATAACTGAATCCCTTCCCTCCTGTTCCAAGTTTCCCTCTAGCCCCAAGGAGATGTCCTTAATCTTGGTTCTGGGCAGGTAATCAAGCTGGTGGCTGTAGAGAACAGTATCTATCCTCCTAATCACAATGCTCTTACCACTGTAATCTCCTATTTCCTCCCTGCCACTTGCATGGCCCCCTCTACCATTTTAGTGGTGAGATTGCTTAGCCTCCCAGCTGTCTCCACGCTGTCCCACATGCAAAAATCCCACATCTGTTCTTCAATTACAGGGGCTAAGACTATAGGGGTTCCCATATCTGCCTGACCTGTGGCCACACCCTCCTGTCCCTGATCACAGATCAAATTCATTTTACATAATGAGGGGTGGGCCCATCTCCTGGAGCAAAGTGTCTCAGTAACTTCCCCTTCCCTGATACAGAGCAGTAGTTGCAGCTTGGATTCTAGTTCCTTGATCCTTCACCTACAAACAATCCAGATATATTTACTCTGCATCACCTTGGTCTCCAGCAGAGCCCACATGCTACAGCAGCGATACATCCTGTCACACTATCGTATTTTATTTAATCTATTAATTCACTACTCTATACTGCTAAAGCACTTAAATAGTCTACTCCTCACAGTTAATGCCCATGTGTCACATTGTGGTTCACTACATTATTCTGCCAATGGTCTCCTCTTGATCTAGGCTTTTCATCCTCTCCTGCTTATCTCCCAGTCAAAATACTATTTTGAGCCTCAATAAAATAAACGTTAAGTGCTCACTAATTCACTAACATCTTCTGCTGTAGCGGAGCAAAAGTGAGTGCCTAGAGGCTGAAAAGGTTCACATGAAACAACCAAGCGCCACCCTCCCTGTTCTCCCCTGAACAGCCTGAATCACTTAACTCTGGTACACTGCTGTAAGTTGGCTACTTGTATATGCTCCTAACACATAGGCCTATCTGAGCGATTTAATGGGGAATTCACCTTCTGTTTCATAATCAAACTACTTTGGGGGGGGAAAAAAAAAAAAATTCCTGTTTTAATGCTGACAACTACAGAATTTAAACTGTTGCTTTCAATTTAATGACAACTGCAAACTAAGTTAGATACAAATTATAAATTTATAAAAAGTAAATTTAAATTTTCTTAATCAGCAATGCAGACACTCAGTTCTAGCCCTAAAAATGCACAAGCTCAATCTTTGCTCAACTCCTCTGTCAAATGTCTCCTAGATGTATTTTCTGTGATCCCAACGTCTTAGGCCCAGAGAGGAAAATGGCAAAAGTTAATGTGGTTGAATTGGTGCAGGCGGAGGCCATTTGGCCAACTGTGCTTGTACCTTCTCTTTGAAGGACCTATCCAGCAAGTCTCAGTAACTCCTGCTTCCTTGTGGTTATGCAAAGGTTTACTGGTGCTCTCTGGTTCTTGGGTAGAACTTGCGCCAGTTCTGGTGCTGAATTGGGTTGGGTTTGAACTGAGCTGTTCTTAACCAGTACAAGCTCAATATTGCAGTTGAAATCTGCACGTTATGAAAGCAGCAGTTTCACACTAAAACAGTGTGTGGGGGTTGAGCTGATAACTGTGGGTATTTTCAACTCCTAATGTGGTCACTAGGAGTTGCTCTCAATAACAGTTGTTTTCTTGTCTCAGATTTACTTTAAAGGTGTTCACCCCAAGTTCCCTGAAGGGGGTAAGATGTCCCAGTACCTGGAGAGTTTGAGACTGCAAGATGTGATTGATTTCAGAGGGCCCAGTGGATTGCTTGTCTACAAGGGAAAAGGTAAGTGAGAGATTCCACTTCGTTCTCCCAGATTCTCCGTCTTTATCGCTCTATTCTGATGATGCTACCTTTCTCTGGGGCAGGATCTCTGAAATATCGGTGTAGAGCTGGATGAACACAGCAGGCCAAGCAGCATCAGAGGAGCAGGAAGGCTGATGTT